TGACTGTTTGTCGTAATACTACCAAGGTAGCCGTATAATTCCTTATATGAGCGTTAGTTTTTGTTGTGGCTGTGCGCGGGTTTTCCAGACATTAAAGTTGGTGTATTTAATGCTGGTCTGATTATCCTGACCTACGCTGCCTGCACCTTTTCGTGTGGTAGTTCTCCAAGCATGATGTTTCCTCCTCAACTTGGACATTTGGCTCTTGTGGTCTGGTTTACCTTGTGCTTGGGTGTACAGTTTTTGGTTGGATGCCTCAGGCTACACACTCATCTCTCCTGTCTGGTGCAGCGTGTTTGATGGTGGCTGTATTTCTGACACCTGAAGCAGCGCAGGGGTTCAGGGACGTAAGGTATGTCAGTATATTCCCTAATTTCCAAGATTAAATTTTTCTGGTGCATGTCCCATAAAAGTCACCAGAACCTGACGTGTCACCGCTTTGCATTCAAGATTTGTCTGTTCTAGGATTGGATCCAGTGGAAAGTCGACTGGATATTCCAACAGCACGACTTTTATGCGTCTTTCTGAAGGCTCCAGCTTTTCGAAGCATTCAGGTTTTCCTAGAAGGAATATTACCATGTCTAGGTAATTTGCAATCTTTTGGTCTGGCCGTGTCATCATAATTTCTCCTTTCCCGATGACAGTGATGGAATTTTTGAGCACTGTTTGGAGCTTTTCCATTGCCTTTACTATACCATATGCGGTAGACAAGTTGTCTGTCTGTATTATGGGTATTTCGAATTTTGCAATTCTAAGTCTGCAAGTTGGAAAGATGTGCAGTCTGACACTGGTGTGTGACTAGTGCTGTTCTCTCCAAGAGCATTATGTCTGGATTCTTGCTGATAGAAGTGCTTGGTGTAGCCTTAATAACCGTTTTCGTCTCTACTTGCTGTACCTCGGTGAACTATCCCTCTTTGTCTGAAAACTGCTTCCATTTCCTCTTTCTCCCCGACATCCTGTTGACGTCTCTCCGTAGTGAGAGCCGATTCACATTCCTACATAAAGTCTTAGACACTCCAATGTCTGGATAAATTTATTTCCCTTCATTGGAAGTCGTAAAATGATTTTTCCAGGTGGAATCTGGGATACCTAACACTTAGTTAAGCAGTTTGGTCTACCTTTCCCTGTCAAGATCAGTACACCTTTAAAGGTGACTCACTGTGGCACTGCTCACAAAGTAACGAGCTGCTCAGTGATATGGCCCTCTCACACGAAAATAATAGATCATTGGGAGCCGGGTGTTCCGACCACTGTCATAACATTGTGCAAAACTAGCCCGGTGTACAACAGTCTGCAACGGTATTTATCCAAGAATTGCAGAAGAAATCAACGTTACTTCCAAACAATATTGCAGCACGCACTCCTGGCGGTCGGCAGCAGGAATACAGTCAACATGTTACATCAGCAGCTTTGAGTCTGAGTATTGGTGGGTTGTTCCTCACAAAACTGCGAGGATTTGAGCTGATGGTTGCTCAGAATCTGAAGTTTTCCAGAGAACAAACCCGTGTGCGGCCTGCTGTACCAGTGGCGCAGGCGGCGAGTCTCATGGCTGGTGATCGGCTCATCCTAGTAATGTAGGGCATTATGAGCTTTCTCCACAGCCTATAGTTCTAAGTTACGACTACCTCTCGCCTGACGCTTCATTACGTATTTTTTTTATTATATATACGTTCAATTCTTAATGGAAAGACCAAGCCATTATGTAATATTTTTATTAGCATCTTGGCCTTCACACAGATACCAAACACGTTGGATACCTCCCAATTATTACAGTTTCAAGAACACACTCCTGGAGGACACACACATGCAGTCAACATGTTATATCAACAGCTATGGAAATCCCCCGTTCCTCATATGACTGGAGATTGCCGCGAACCCAGAATGTTTCGTCTGATAATATTTAATATTTAATATTTTAATATTTAAGTCCCACAGATGCTATGCATGGATTGTCTACCAGAGTAGCGAGAGCAGCCAAGTACCATATTCTTACACATGTCCCCGACTGTGTACGTCACCAGTAATCTCTAGCAGCTTCAAGCCTCAGTACTACAGGTACAAACGTTACCATCATCCTCCTGGTGGTTCCTGAACCTCGGGCATCTGTAAGTGCTTGACCGCAGTGGTCACCCATCTGTGGTCACAGTCACCATCTTGTGTAAATAAGGACACCTGGATGTGGATTTGATTTGCAGTAACATACTATTTGTGTTGAATTGTCTTTCCCTATGACTTCTCCATGCATCATAGTCCACAAATTTGCCTGTCAGTGCCTGAACAGGTGAAGGCAGAGTCTTGGAGACGAAGATTTCCTAACCCATCCCTGGCGTGTCCTACACTTGGCCAGTTGTCCTCAGGAGAGTGGTAAGTATAGCAGAAATATCTTATTTAACAACGCACATTTTAACCCTTTGTCGAGATTAAATGCTCTTTGTTATACATAGTTTATATCAGTATCTTGACTGGAGCCTTTGTAAATCGTTGAAATTTGTGGAGAGAGACAAGCCATGTTGGTGAGGCACATCAAAGTGTTAAGAAAAGGTTCCCCTCGAGAGGGTTGAGTACCCATCCAGTAAGATTGACATGTACCTCTCTGATACACAGAGCAATCACACTAACCTGATGTACCAATGAGAAAATATTGAGCCGTTGTGAGGATTCGAACTTATGCGTGGTGCATTACCAGGAACACGCCCCAGACAACCAGGCCATGATGTGGTCAAAGGACTGCAACCTTGGGTTCTACTGAACCCTGTTGGCTTTAGTGGAAGTCCCTGACATCCCGAAAGATCAGTAAGGCCTACATGGTTTTACCATCTAGAGCCTGGTTATCTGGTGCGTGTACCTGGGAATGCCCAGCGCAAAGGTTTCCTGTGCGCATGAGGGCTTTAAGTTGTTACAGATTTTCATTGTGAGAGTTCAAGAACGCATTAAAATGTTAATTCTCAAATTATAGTGACCGTTTCTACATCGGAGATTTATGAGTTAACACAATATATTTGACACTAGATTATCCTTAATATTCACTATCAACATTTAAAAAATATATAATTTACTTTCAACCTTTTTTTCAACATTTTTATTATATGCAGCATGATACATGATGCTTAATACACTGGATGACAAACATCACAGTTAGGTTAGGAAAGCTAGGTTGGTTGAATCGTTAATGTATGATTCTTAACGCTAGTTAAAAAAAACAGATGCTAGGTGTCACTGTTAGATGGAGGAGCTGGTAGGTGGTGGATAACGGCATGAACCGTTAGATGAATGGTGGATTAACAGGACGATGGATCACTGGTAGGTGAATGGTGCTTTAACAGGGCGTACCGAGGGATACTTTGTGTTAGTATCACACAGAAATCGCTCATTTACGTATAATAGGACTATTTAGGTTAGGTAAGAATAGTTAGTGATGCATAGACATTTACACTAAATGCGTAGAGTGGGAGGAGCCGGAGGGGGGGGGGTACATTTGTCACCTGGTTAATGGAAGGGGAGACAGTCAGGAAGGTGTTATGCACTTGTACGGGAAAATTCATTGCTAACAGTTATTGTATTTCACACCCCCTGAACGTTCGCTCATGCTTGCACTAACCTCGACATGCATATCTACTATCTGTCAACCTTAATTGTTTCACAGAATCAATTAGAAACCCTTCCTTGAAGTAACCTTTACACTGTTATCCTTTGTAAATCCTTTTTTGCTTCACTGAAACCGAATCAATTTGAAACATTTCCCTAAACGTTTCTCCTCCCGAAACTTAAGCCTAATGCTTCCTGTATCTTTCTTGCTAATCCTTAATTAAAGTATACAAAATTATCTACTGTACGAATCAATTTGATTTTTTTATTAATTCTTCTCGATTTCTCCCCTTTCCCCTCATTCAAGAATATTGCCATGAAAATTACAGTTGAAAAACCATCCTTCCACTCCCTAATGTACGAAACATTTTTAAAAACTACAGGAATCATTTTGATTTTCCCTTTTAACTTCGTTCACAACTCGTGCCCTTGACTACTATTTTGTAACTGTCAAAATTTCCGTTTACTAAGCTTGCAACTTTAAATGGAACACCATTGCAACATGACTCATCCCACGTTTACAATTCTTACCTCTTGTCCTGGTTTGCAAAGCAATTGTATCTTACATCCTCAATTCCCCTACTATAGTCCTCTGCTAGAACTAATTAATCAAAGACTGAGGCATGGTATCTTACCCGACCGCTGGATACCGACTAATAATACCCAAAGCCAAATTCACAAACATTCTGACCCATACGAAAAAATTAGTAGAAGCCGTGAGGAGGAGTCGAACTTAAGCTCTGAGGACTCCCAAGCAAACTTCTTAGACAACTGTACCACAACATGGTCAAAAGAATTCCAGCCTGGGATGCTTGGGAGTACACAGAACAGAGATTCGAATCCTTCTCTCAAGCTCCTACTCATTTTCTCATTGATACATCAATGAGAATTACTGTGATTTCTTCGTGCCTTCAGACCCCATGTCTGACATCATTTAAGTGTTAAGTTCTTGAGAGGATTCAACCCGTTCTCGCAAATTCGTAAAGTCAATATTGACTTATTAACTACGTGCATAGGTGATATACTAAACATAATAGATACCCTTAAAAAGATTAATAGAAAACATCGACCTTACCTAACCATGTTAGTATCTTAAGATAAGCATCTTATTGCTTCGTAATTACAATTATTACTTAACCTATACCTATTATAGGTTAGGTAATAATTGTAATTACGAAGCAATAAGATGCTTATCTTAAGATACTAACAAGGTTAGGTAAGGTCGGTGTTTTCTATGAATCTTTTTAAGGGTATCTATTATGTTAAGTATGTCACCTATGCACATATTTAATAAGTCAATATTGACTTATTAAATTTGCGAGAACGGGTTGGAGGATTACACTCGACAGGTTAATGTTTGAAATTAGACCCCAACTTGCCCCTAACCTGAATGGTTCCCTCACTGGAAGACGCATTTAAACTTCCCAGTCTCCCCTAACCCCAAGTGAAGCATCACCCTCTTGGGTATTTTTATATATACACATCTATTTGATTGGACTGGTGGGATAGAAGACAGACTAACAGAAATATGGACAGGGATGGGGATTGAAATTTAACCGAAATTGTTAGCTTAACATTAACCATATAATACACCACAACTTAATCTTCAAATTATGGGCCTGAAGAATGGTTAACCACTCGGAAGTGGCTAACGCATAGAGTACTTTAGACTATACCTATTAGAGGATCACTGCTTCAAGGCATAGTGTGTTAAACTATTAAAATTATTAAACGTGTTCCCTTCACCTATGGTACTTAGGTGGGAATATGTATCAACTACATAATGACCAACTGCGATTCGAGAGAAGCTTTTCCAAGTAACTTTAATCCCTCCATACCTGCAGTAGCGTTGTAAAAGACCAAGTACATGGGTCTGGTTGACCATACCTGCAGTGCTGTTGTACTGATGCACCCTCGTACATACCTGAAAAACACATTAAATACATCAAAATACTAAATTGAACATCTTGTAAAGTTTGAGAAACATCCCGCAAAACAATCGATCAGGTCAGATTTTGGTTCATCTATAAAGCTGACTTACCACCGAATGGCAAAATTTCAGACTTGACTTATCCAAAGCCCGTTGTCAACAACGGCCAAGTGGTCGTTAACCCGGCAGCCAAACATGAACGTGAAGAACGCTTCACATTTAACTTCTCAGTCTATGCTCGTTCATGTACTGATCCACAACAGTTCATACATTTTAACACACTGTACTTAAAATAGTTTTTGATGTGACCTATTATATATTATTTATTAGGGGAGGGAGACAAGTTGGAATACACTCACGTTGTTTCCTTCAACTATCAGACCTATACACAATTTAAATATACATTAATATTTACTTATATTGGACAAAATATAGTACTTGGTTACACAAGACGTTAAAGTTAATTAAGGCGTCTCTGGGGTTGGCTGCAGCGTGGACGACACTGACTCTGGATGGCTAGTTTCATTCACATAGGATTGGGGGGGGAGGGGATGTGACGCTTGCTAGATTAAAAGTCTTTGGTCTGTGTTCCAAGGATTGAAATATGATAGTTCACAAGAAACACCTTATAACTGCCAGAATTTAACTAATAAATTTGTCAACATTTTCCACCTGCTTTTGGTTGAACGTTCAGTTTCACTATGAGTGTAACACTCAAGCCGCTGTTGTTGAACAGTTTATCACACAGCAGGCGTTTTTAGAATTAAATTTTGCTTTAATAATCATCAAAAGTCTTAATGTAGGTAAAAGTTTCCACTAATAGCCAGGTATATTACTCAATATCATATTTACAAATGAGTAAACCAGAGCTAATTGAATAATTTTAAATAAAGCTTTAACATCTTGTAACTATTCTTATTTATAAAATCAGCAAATATAGACTATTCTATCAATAATACAATGTGATAAAATAACTAATCATCTAGAGTAACTTGCCTGTAAGTCTGGCGCAGGTAACCTCATGCACAGGACTGTCCAGGTGACTAATTTAGTAAAACCAATGAGGCGGGCGCTGAGCAGCACCTCTCCCCACGCCGGCCCGCGCCACACTGCCCGCCGCGCCTCTTGACTAGCTTGGCCTGATGGGTCAACTACCTGTGACGTCATTCACCTCACCTGACATGAGGCCGCCTCACACACAAATAATTCACAAGTCACTTCCACAATATTTATATAGTTTATTTCTATTAATGTGAAGTATGAGCAAGTGTGAGTATGTATTAAAAGCACATACTTCACTACTGGACATTAAACCCACTACCACACCCACCTAGTAGCTTGGAAGCTCCATAACGCCTTCTGTAACTGTTATGTTGGGGTCTAGGCCAGGGGCCAGGTACAACAACCGGTTACGGTGCTCAGCGTCCTGTGTGTATATATTACTGTATGCCTGTAGGGTCGAACTCTTAGGTCTTGGACCCCGCCTTTCTTATCGTCGATTGTCTAGTTACCGAATCAAGACCTATTTTTCCTATCATATCATCTACATGTGTTTCCATCACACACACACACACACACACACATTCCCAGGATACAGCCCGCAGCAGTTGTTTAACTCCCAGATACCTGTTTACTGCTTCGAGAACAAATCATCAAGTGAAAGAAAATCTGCCCATTTGTTTCTGCTTCGATGAGGAATCGAATCCGGGTCCTTTGAACTACGACCCTAGAGTGCTGTCCACTTGGTGGCGAGGACGTGTGCGTGTGTGTATGTGTTTGTGCGAACTCTCCTAAATGTACTCACCAAAATGTGCCTGCAGGGTCAAGCTAGGCTCCTAGCCACCACCATCCCCCCCCCCCCCCCGCCTTCTAAACGTTCTAAGATTAATGCAACGTCTTCTTTCCCCTCATTTATCATATTTCCATTTAAAACTTTGAATCGATTTATCTTCAACGTCTTTACGTCTAACCAGTTGCACTTATTGACAGCCCTGAGACTGAAAAAGGTCTTAATGACGTCCCTGTGACTTATTTGCATCTCTAATTTCCTTGTGTGACCCCTAGTTCTGCTGTTCCTAGCTTCCAACAATATTGCTTTGTCTACCTTGTCAATTTCCATTAGAATCTTATATATTGCTATCAGATCCCCCTCATCTCTCCTTTCCTCCAGTGTGGTAAGGTCCAGTTCTCTCAGTCTTATTTTATAGCTTAAACTCTTTAACTCTGGAACAAGTCTCGTTGCATTTCTTTGTAACTTTTCTAGTTTCTTCTTGTCCTTTTACAGGTAAGAGTTCCATGCCGGGGATGCATATTCATGTGTGGCTCTCACCTTCACTGTAAATAGGTACAGGAAAGCCCTCGTGTTTAAATTTCTGAAGGATACTCGGATGTTGGCCAGTATGCCATTATGAAGCTGTTATTCTGCTAATGTGGGCATCTGACATCACAAATGGGGTTATGTCCACTACTAGGACTTTCTTCCTTTCTGATGTAAGAATCAGTTTTCCCTTTTATCCTATACTTTTGTCCTGGTCTTAGTGTGCCTGTTCCAATCCTCATAACTTTGCATTTGGCCATGCTTTTTTTCTGAAATATTTTAAGTGTGTCCAAATCTGATTAAATGCCTCACAATCTGCTACTGTCCTGAGACTTCTCAAACTTTGCATCATCTGTAAATATTGAAATGAAGGCACAAATTTCCTGTCAGGTGATTGACAAATTCGAAACAGTATGGGACCTATAAGCAACCCTTGTAGTACTCCACTTGTAACCTCTCTCTCCCCTCTGCTTCCTTCTTGAGAGAGAATCTCTGACCCAATCAGCATTAGGGAAACCTAAACAAACTGCCCCTGGTGTGGATGGTATAACTTGTAACACCTTGAGCTTACTGAATGATGTCCCTAGCCACCCTCTGATTGACCTCTATTAAATGAGCCTCTCACAAGGTATCTTGCCAAAGAAATGGACACAAAGTCTCATAGAACCAATTCCTATACCTATCTCTCAAAATTCAGACCCATTTCCCTTACATCTTGCATGTGTAAAGTCTTGTCTTGGAGTTCTCAGTCGAGTCATTTTTCAGGTCAAAGAAGAATTGGCTCCTAACCTATATGGGTTTATGCCCAAGTTTTGTTCACAACCATGTTTTGCTGAATATTTTGTACACTTCCAGGATAGGACACAGGCAGCCTTTATTGACCTGAACTCAGATTTCGATGAAGCAAATGGCGAAATATTATTAGAGAAACCTGCTGAATTTGGAATCGAAGGTAATCTGAGTTGGATAAAGAGCTACATATCCAACAGGCGTCCTAGTGTCCTATTTAAAGGAGTTAAAAGTACAAGAACGGATGCATTCGAAGTAGGCACACCTCAAGGTTGTGTCCTAAGCCCTATGCAGGCGATGAGTCACAATAACGTGGCTAAAGTATATTGACCAGACCACACACTAGAAGTTGAAGGGACGACGACGTTTCGGTCCGTCCTGGACCATTCTCAAGTCGATCAAGTCGCCCTATGTTTTTTTTTTTTTTTTTTTTTTTTTTTTTTTTTTTTTTTTTTTTTTTATGAGATATATACAAGAGTTGTTACATTCTTGTACAGCCACTAGTACGCGTAGCGTTTCGGGCAAGTCCTTAATCCTATGGTCCCTGGAATACGATCCCCTGCCGCGAAGAATCGTTTTTTCATCCAAGTACACATTTTACTGTTGCGTTAAACAGAGGCTACAGTTAAGGAATTGCGCCCAGTAAATCCTCCCCGGCCAGGATACGAACCCATGACATAGCGCTCGCGGAACGCCAGGCGAGTGTCTTACCACTACACCACGGAGACTGCATATATATATATATGTCGTACCTAATAGCCAGAACGCACTTCTCAGCCTACTATTCAAGGCCCGATTTGCCTAATAAGCCAAGTTTTCATTAATTAATGTTTTTTCGTCTACCTAACCTACCTAACCTAATCTAACCTAGCTTTTTTTGACTACCTAACCTAACCTTACCTATAAATATAGGTTAGGTTAGGTTAGGTAGGGTTGGTTAGGTTCGATCATATATCTACGTTAATTTTAACTCCAATAACAAAAATTGACCTCATACATAGAGAAAAGGGTTGCTTTATCATTTCATAAGAAAAAAATTATAGTAAATATATTAATTCAGGAAAACTTGGCTTATTAGGCAAATCGGGCCTTGAATAGTAGGCTGAGAAGTGAGTTCTGGCTACTAGGTACGACATATATATATATATATATATATATATGCGCATATATATATATATATATATATATATATATGCGGAGACTTTCATATACTTATGTGCAAACTTATCCATGACATGCCTGTACAATCAACTAAAACTGTTATATGTTATGCTGATGATATTTGTCTTATGGCAAACAGTAAACAAAGACTACAAACGTTACTTGATGTATTTTCCAAGAAAGTAGTAGAATGTGGCCTCATAATCTCTGTTGATAATACAAGAGCTCTTTTTTCCCCTTTCTCTTCATGTTAACTATACTATTAATGGAGTGCCCGTGGAGACTTTTGAGTCTTATAGATTTTTTAGAATCGAGGTTACTGATACAAATATCATCAGCAACCTTCGCAAAAACTTGTTGAGCGTCTTAAACCTCTCAAAACTCTTGTGAGTTAAGGATTTGGCATTAACATAAGATATGCTCGTAGTTTTTATGTTGCCTTTATACGATCTGTTGTTGATTATTATGCCTTGCATCTTCTTAATTTAACACCTAAACAACTACAAGGCCTAGATGTAGTACAAAAAAATGCCATGTGCATCATCCTAGGTTGTCCTCATCCTAGGTTGTCCTAGAACTGTCAGAATTGTTAACATGAGAACGGAACTAAGATTACCTTCTATTTACGAGAGAATAGTTCAATATAAAACTATGTTTTGTGCCATACAGGCTCACCATAGCCCGTGTTACCTGGAACAAAAAGTTCCAGGTAGCCAATCTTTAACAACAACAACATTTTGTGTCAAAACTTTGAAAAATAATGGTTCCCCCAACTCTATTCAAATTAAATTGAGATCCACTGTAAACAATTCTGACTGTTCAATCAATCCGCAAAAAGCGCCTTACAGTGTGTGGCTCAGTTGTTGTGCCAATATTCTTATGAAACTGAATGTCTCTTTGTCTTGATAAAACTGTTCACTATATTCCCCCTTGGAAAAATGTGCAGGTCTCTATACATTATACACCCATCAGTGTAAAACAAATGTATAACACAAACTATGAGATGTATAACACTATAAACTATTGACAGTCATCTTCAATATCTCTAACCACCTGAATCCTATGCCTTTACTGATGGATCTGTACAATTAGGCACCCGTAGAACAGATTGTGCATGTGCAGTACATAAAGGGAATTAAATGATCATGCCTTGTACACAGAGATTGAACGACTGGGAAAGCACGACAGACTGAGCTATTGGGTATTTATCTAGCCACTAAATACATTAAGCTCTATGGGGGTGGGGTGATATTTTGTGACTAAAAGTGCTCTGCAGTCTTTAAATAACCCATCACAATTTATGTTTGTAATATTAAATGGAAAGTAATTTTTGCCAATGATAATAACCATTGTATAAAATTTGTGTGGATCCCATCCCATGATGGAATTGGAAAATATGACTTCGGACAATATGACTTGGCCAATAAGGATTGCAGGAAAGAAAACACTGATTGTGACTTTGCATTATCTAATGAAATTATTAGAAACATAGAAATTAAAGAAATTACTTCAGGTTTATTAGAACTAAGACATGGCCAGAGACCTGAAAGCTGCAGTATTAAAGCTATGACAACTTTTGTAATAATAGGTATTTGTATAATCAGCACAGTAGCCGGACTAGGCAATATGATGTAGTCATTGCGTGAATTCGCCTTGGGTATAGGAACATCTGGCAGGTTAGTGAGGCTGAGCGACTACCCAAATGTTCAGATTGTAAACTCCGTGACAAACCTTTAATGCATTCACTAGAACACTATATTGTTGAATGTGAAACCGTAAAAGATTTTAGACCTCCTGGCCTATTGTACCACCAAATGTGTTACTGTTTCATTGAATCTGGAGTACTGGACGACATCCTAACAATTTATCCAAACGGCCTATTGACATAGCTCGAGTGCAGGGGGGAGTTGTGTAAAATCCT